GCTGGCTAAATATGCAGCAGAAATGTTCGTCCCTGCATGCTGCCTTGGTCATATAATAAATGCCTCCTTCCTCTTCGCTAATTGTTGATCACTTGACACTGCAATCGCAGTATATCTTCCTGCATCTGTTTAAGGACCAATTCAGTTCACAAACCATCAATTTTAGTGCTCACTTTTCAAGATATTACGAGTTATTAACTACTTTTACTCTGCTACTCTCCAATCCACTCCAATCCTACGCAGTTTCGAGAAAAAAATTCGAGTAGGTGCTGAAATTTTTCGGCGAAAAAAAAAAATTCAAATCGTTCTGGAAAAAATATTTTCAGTTCCAGGGGGCAATTACAATCATTTTTGGTTAAAAGATGTACCCCCGAAATCCTACTCAGTTTCGAGAAAAAAATTCGAGAAGGAGTGAAATTTTTCGGCGAAAAAAAAAATTTCCAATCGTTCTGGAAAAAATATTTTCAGTTGCAGGGGTCAATTGCAATCATTTTTGGTCAATAGACATACCCTCGAAATCCTATTCAGTTTCGAGAAAAAAATTCGAAAAGGAGTGAAATTTTTCGGCGAAAAAAAAAATTTCCAATCGTTCTGGAAAAAATATTTTCAGTTGCAGGGGTCAATTACAATCATTTTTGGTCAATAGACATACCCTCGAAATCCTATCCAGTTTCTAGAAAAAAATTCGAGAAGGAGTGAAATTTTTCGGCGAATAAAAAAATTTCCAATCGTTCTGGAAAAAATATTTTCAGTTGCAGGGGTCAATTACAATCATTTTTGGTCAATAGACATACCCTCGAAATCCTACTCAGTTTCGAGAAAAAAATTCCTGATGCAAGGGGAAGTTCCTTGCTTCGATCGTCAATCCAAAACCACGTGGTGGATATAACTGAGAGTTTGACAACTGTCTAGTGAGTCATGATGCTTACTAGAAACAAACCATTTTCGATGCTACGAGCCCCAAGTCTTGGATTTTCTAAGGACTTATTGAACAACCCTCCTAACAATGTCTCCATTTTCCAAAAATGTCCTTTCCCGCCAATAACCATTGATGAATACGCGCGGAAAGGGGCATAAACGTGAAACAGGAATGTTCACAACGTCCACCAGCGAATGGTCATTCCTGCTAGCATAGGATTGATACGCGCGTGCATTTACCAAACGTTCGTCCGCGTCGTTTTCCAAAGCCCACAGCACAGAGACGCGTCCATCCGTCCCAGAGGTAGGTATAGCGCACACGCACGGCTCAACAAACGAACACAGATATCTCGTATCATCGGCGGAGTTAGGCGGTCCGGTCGTCGATGCGAAGTCAGTCACTGATGGTGCTGGTATGACGTGGTAAATTATTTATTCACCGGCGACTGCGGGTGAATAATGGATCTTCCTTCGGCGCGAATGGCACCGAAGGAACGTTATTGATCACCGAAATATCAAAAGTAGGCGTATCCATCACCGATGGACCACCATACGCACGGGGGAAACGTGTGTCGAAACGACCCGGTAGAAAACGTACGCGCGCACCGTGAACACAGAGATATCCACAGGGAAGACGGATACACGAGGAGAACGGACGGACGGACGGTCAGACAGACGGATGGAATGCCCCGGCCTGCATCGTACCGGGCCTGTTCCGACAATAAAATCGATTTTTCATACCGGGCATTTATCATACACCCGCGATAATGGGTATGTATGGAGATACGGTATAAATATTTCGAGGTAAATAATCGTTAGCTCCTCGAGTACCGGAGTGTGGAGAGAGCATTAATAATATCGGTGTCCTTTTCACGGGCTGGAGGAATTGACAGCATGATAGAATCCTTCGTTACCAATGAGGGTATCTACGCTCGCTCCGACTCGAGATCGTCCACTGCTCTCGCTCAGTATCAAATAGTTATAATAATATTACGACTTTATTGCGTCGGAGTTGCATACAAAATGAAACGAACCATCCAGAAAAATTGTCCGTAGAAACAGTGTAGGGAAGATTGGGGCAAAAGAAGTCCAAGCAAATTTGGGAAAAATGTATTAAAACTAGTTTAAATTGTAGTTTAGTACCTCCTCTGTACCTCCTGAATACTAAACAAGTCGACAATTCTAATGTCCAACCGTAAAATGCTGGTCTTCTCGCGGTCGTGGCGCAATTAGTATCCTGCTGATTTTCAAAGGAGGGTGTTGCACAATTCATCCCTGGAGTACGCACTCGTGGACACTCTGGTCGCTTCTCGCCCTTTGTACGACCAATCGATGAAATTTTTCGGTCGGCTTGTCGGGATCGAGGGCCAAATTATCGGCGACAAGTGTCCTACAGCCGAATAATCGCCGTTTAAGCGGATACAATGGCGGTCGATTCGCAAACGAACGTTTTTATCTCGGTAACAAAGTCTATTTAGGTCACCCACCTATGCGACATGTATCTTCCCCAAAGATCTATGTAAGCTTGCCTTAATCGTACATCGTCTCTTTTTTCCACCCCTCCCAGTCTTTACATTCAATTACTATATGCACGCTTGTCTTATCGAGTTAATCATTTTTAGTGCAACTAATTCCCCATTGTTTGGACAGTTCTTCATCCCTTAAAGATACGGTTTAAAGGCACATCGATCGAATCTAGCTCGGTCTCGAGCGTTGAGGTGTTAATCAGAGCTGTCAAACGACGGGTGAGCTCGATCTTTCCGATCCAGGGATCGTTTCGCCAAAAACAGAGCCCACGTGACAGCAAACAGAGTCGTCGGGGCACGGGCGTCGGGTAATCTCGCGGCTAATCCAATTTACCCATGCGCCTCCTACGTTTATCTACGTGATTGAGGCGAGAGATATTTAGCATATCGATCGTGTAATTATCCTTGAATCCGGCGGCTCACTGGGCTGTCTCGGGTATACCGAGGCCCGTGGCCCCGTGTAAAAGCCGAAGATGAAGAGATAACGCCGTAGGAGGCGGGAAATAAAAAATAAGAAGCCCGTAGTATTCCCAGCTGGGGGTCATTCCTGACGTAAGGCTTTCGTTGGTCGAGTTTCACGATTGACCACCTGGCCGCATAGTTACACCTTGTAAACGGCCGGTGTCTACCGATGCTAATAAACAGAACGGACACGTTCGTGCCGGGGCTTCGTATTCGGCGGAGATTAATCGACACGGATTTGTCACGGACATCGTTACGTGCTCAACTCGTTCTATTTCGGTTCGCCGTTCGACGATAACCGTTCTCCGTTTCGTAAGATTCGCGATCACGGACATGCTGCTAGGGTATAGCGGAGATCGACGGCCAGACTGAAATTGTTCCCGTCACCTCGCGTTACCCGTTCGCCTGATTTATCGCGCCGTTCGCGCGACTGTAAGCGAACTTTGCTTGATAAACGATAGATTGTCTCGCCGTTATAGGTAGCTCCGAGCGTTCAATATTCATCGAATGACGAATAACGAGTGTTTATCATTCTCTAAATATAGTATTTCCCGCTTTTATGCAATTTTTTCACCCCGTTTAAGTCACAAAATTATCTGACCCCTGTTTAAACTGGCGATCGTTTCTCTCGGAGTTGCTTAAAAAATATTAATATAAAAATGATCTAAACAAAGTAAGTCTAAGAATAAAATTTGCCTGCGCGCGATCGACCGAATAAATCGTCCGTAAACTTATGCACTGGAACATGCGAGTAGCGTGAGTTTAATCTACTAACCCATAAGCCTGGACAGACGGTTTCGGACTAAAGGGGACCGAGGATAAGAGATAGAGTGGACGGAGGGGTATCTTGGCGAACCTCGGTGGTTGGACTTAAAGGCTTCGGATTCTTATTTCCCCATAAATAATTTTAATGACGCGCCGCGGCAGTTCAGGTATAGGGCGAAGCTATGCGGGGCCCTGTACCTGTAGGCAGCCTCGTATTGTTATTTATTAGATTCGTCGCATGTGAGTATGCGTCTACGCGCGAACACACGCCGACGATTCTGTGCATGGAAACGCGAAAACCACGTACGTGAATGTGGCGCGAGTCGATAAAATTCACCGATCATTTTTCACGCGCGCGCTTTGCGCACCGAGGACTCGCACTGTTTGCGTATTTTTAACATTTCGGACCCGTTCCCGGCACGCTGAGCTTTTATTTTTGTAACACTTTCGTCGCGGACAATTATTCACGGATATCGGTGTGCCCGTAATGGCACGGTGCAACGGTGCAACCAGAAATTTAGCAACCGGGGGGATGCAACGAAAAATTAACAGAGACAAACACGTCATAACAATTTCCCTCACTGTACAAACTTTGTCGATCAATTATTCGTCTTTACTTAATTTCAACGTTGAATACAGTGTATATGTACAAATATTTGGGCATTAGGGTATGCTACTTATATTCGAAATATGTCAAATCTATTTTTTTTTGTGGGCGTTATTTTAAACAACTTTTTCGTTTGAAAAAAATTAAAATTCGACATTATTTTATTTGTCTTGCTAGTAAAAAAAGATTCGCAATAATTTCGAACGAAGCGATTTGGGAGCGTCGGTCACTGGCATCCGCCGCGAGGATTCATATTTACCCCGAATATTCCCCGAAGCGCCAAACTCTGAAAACATCTCGTTGCAACCTATCGGGACACGGTATGCAATTATAGCGGGGTATCCCCGTTCGGTTGTCTCGAGAGAAACATCTTCGAGAATGATCCTTCGCGTAGAGCGCAACCAATCGAAAAAGAGTCGCGTCGCGTGCAATGTAGTGGGGGGTGAGGACGTGTGCGCGTTGTGCACTCGGGTAGCGCCACTTTCGCATCGATGGGCGTGTCGCGGGTCGTCCAATCGGAGACAGCGCAACGGGCACGCCCCTCGGGCCGTTTAGGCAACACCCACGTCGCAGATACTTGCAGCGGGTCGTGGTCCTCGCGGGTTTGTGTTCGTGTAGCGCACTCCGCTCGGGAATTACGTTATTATACCGTCGAGCGCACCGAGTCTCGAGCCATGCTGCGCTCCTCGGGCGTAGCTATCGCTTGCCCGCGCGCCTCGTGAACGCGTTTGCTTATCGCGTGGTGCTTTGCGATGCATTCGAGATCGCAAATTACGCTCGTGTGATCGATACCACGGAAAAGATCGGCACCACTGGAACCACGAGTGGCTCGATCGAGAGCTCCAGGGAATCATGAAGGTACGTGTAGTCGTTACTAGGCGATAAATAATCGGACCGACGCTACAAACTGTGGAATTTTCGTCTTTAGTTTCGCAGAGAGGAGTGTTTAGAATTTCTTTCTCGGATCGATGGTTAGGGACTTGATTTTTAATATCGTGTTTGTGTATAGTTTATCGTCGTAAGCATAAGGAAGCGTACGGCGACCAGAAGATCCATCAAAGGAATGCTATAAACGCTCTAAGTACGCTTTGATAGGTATGATTTGCTGGACATGAATGTCGTAATGGTACAAGTGAAAAGTATGAACTATCGGTTAGATATATATTATCCATAGCTATTATCGCAGAGTTTATTGCGTGCCGTACAGTTTATAGAATTTATTGCACACCGCAAAACTGGAATTTATTTTTGTAATACTTGCATGGTTCGGTACCTTTTGAAGTTTCATTAATAATTCATTTATTATTAGAGTAAATTAAGTTTTTGAAAGACAATCCCAAATATTATATAGCCATGAAAAAATTTTATTCAGAATGAAACCATCATGCAGCTTTACTGTTATGAAAGTGTGAACGCTTCGGATAGTTGAAGCTTGTCTCTCTTAACTATTGTATATCGACGATACAAAAGAAAATTACAAATTGCTGGTATTATGCAATGTCACGAGCGCAGCGTGTAATATATTCCATTAAATTTTAACGTTCTAACTTTCCCGACAGTTGCGTGGTTGAAATATACGTTTCTGCCCGAGTCAGAAAGAATTTATGAAAGATTGTTTTATCGATTTGACAGTAGGAATTTATGTAGTGTTTCGAAAATCTGCTAGAGAAATGTGATGAACTTGAACAGTTAGGATTTACCATGAATAAACTACTCCGGCCATGCAATAAACATGATGAATTGTTGGAGATATGCAGGGTCATTCTCATAATGTATACCGCGCGCAATAAAACTTTAATATCCTAATTTTCTCTACACTTGCACGATTGAGATACATTTAAATTGAATTAGTGTTATATCTAATTATATTATTCTATTAATTTACTTACAAACACTCTGATACCAACTTAGACAAGCTTGGCGTATGACTCAAAAGCCATATCTTAGAAAGTTCTATAATTAAGTTCAAGAACGAGAAAGGGAACAGTATCGTTCGCTAATGATAATGTTCAATGCTACACGGACACCGTGTATTACACGGTATTTTTCAAGAAAGTCCCATTAATCGAGAACAAAATGCGTAGAGTTCTCTGTCGCCTTGTCGCTGATCTGCATTTGATACAATGTCGGCCTACTGTGCACATTTTCTGTATCGTCGACTTTCACGTATGTCTCCATATTCGCTCAAACGACTTCTAAATAGATCCATTAGCTGGGCAAAATCTCAATCGCGGAACGTAACGAATAAAAGTGGGTTCACACTATTAATCAAGGCAACCGTCGACCGTTTGTCAAGATATACTTCAAAGAGACCGCCAGAAGGAACGGTGACGGACATTACGAGTACTGTGCGTTGCTGGTAAGTTGACAGTCGTAAAAAACGCGGGTCTGATTGGTTGTAGCGAAATAGGCTCGCTTATTTGGGTGCAAACACACAGAGACAAGATGCAAGCATTTCCGTGATTGGCTTAGACGGTCACATCTACCAATCGAGGACTGTAACAACTTATTCCTTTTGCCCTTACGCCGTTCCGACTGTCGATCAAACCCACTGACATCAAAAAAGCTTGTCCATACTATCGCAAACGTGCTAAAATCGTCGGCGTATGAAGTTCATTTGCACGAAGTAGATAGATATCCATGCAAAATTGATTGTTTTGTTTATGGGAGAATGTTTGCATACATGCCTCGTATAAATACTTCATCGAACCTTAGTTGCAGACACGATTATACAACTTTTCTATGCATTTGGAATCTCGATCCGTCTAATAGAATTCCCTACATAGCTTTTTCAATTTCGCGAGTCATTGTATTTGTTGTGATTTGTTTGTTGAAAACCGCAAGACCGCGTCGGATCAGACCTGCGATGCAACGCGTTTCCCCGCAGTTTTCTTCGCGTCGTAAAGTCCCTAGATCCGCCTCGGTCGCGGCTTGATGAGGTTGATGAGCGTTGGTGGACAGGTCGCGTCTCCCCGGCGCGACTCTCTGTAAAAAATGGCAGCGCGAACGGACGCCGGGGAATCCTCGATGCGAGACGGATAAACTTGGCAGCCGGTTGCAGACCCGCTTCCGACGTATTGCAAGGCGCGGTCGGCGAGAAGCAGCTCCGCGAAACGGAGGTGGCGGATTACGGTGCCGATCGTTTCGCGCGATTGTCTTGTCGCGATGTCGATCGCGTGTCACCTCGGCTAACTCCTCGTATGCTAAATATTGTCGAATACCCGCTCGCAGCTTTGGAACGCATACTCGATGGGCTTTTCTCCGTTGTCACCGGTGCATTGATGCATGTCGCCCCGCGAATCGGAATGTTGCATCGGAAACATTGAATATCTGAGTAGCTGAGCTCACCGGGTCGCTGTTCCACTTGATCGTTGTTGCTTGGTTAGCATTGACGAAGGGTTGCTTCGGGGACTCTGTGGATTACAAAAGTATTGGGACTTGTAACGTTTTTGGTTTCTTTGTACGTCAAAATGGCGGTTAGAAACGCAGTAGTATGTTTGCTTCTATTGCTGACCGTGCAAATAAATTCTAATTAGTTAAAAAGTTAGTCCTCGCAGACAGAACTTGTAACAGGACTAGGTATAAAGCATACCTACGCAGAGACGGGAGAAATCGTAAATACTTGTAAGATCACATCCGTGACGCGGAACGCATCCCACGCGAAGGGCTCTACGCGGGTTGTTACGCGAAAAGACCGTACAAGATGGCATCCAGTGCGTGTGTGGTCCAGTAAATTGTCGGCGTAAATCGCAAAATGGCGCATCAGGCTGATCCGGAGTTATACGGCACCGTTTTTAGAGGACTCGTGCCCGAACGGAACGAGCAAGTCGCGAGGATGACAGAAAGTGAGACAGAGAGACGACACACGTGGTGATTTGCTTGAACGTCCGTGGCAGGTCGGCCTGTTAAAGCGTCTCGCCGTCCGACACTTGGAAATATTGCAGTCTGCTCTAAACAGACGCGAAAATTAAAAAAATTATTATTATCGCTAATAGAAGTAAACTAAATATTACTGAGAAAATAATTATTACAGAAAAGTATTTTGCCTCGATCGTTCTATTTTATATATCATAAAACATCGTGTTAGATACCGTGAAATTTCGAACAAAGGTAGAAAAAGCATTTGTCGGAACGTTTTTTGGATTCTACATTATTGAACGTGTCGCCGATCCCATAGATCGTAACTCCGGATGATCCGTTTTACGCTGGACAGGAGTTAGATCCGCGTGCTCTTTTACACCATTAATCTTCTCTGATCTCTCGAAATCCCCGCGTTAATTCTGTTTTATCGATCCCATTTACTTAACGCGGGATGAACTATTACCCGGGCAGTCTGTTTTCAGCCTGGTGCCCGGTTTTCTGTCGTTTAACCGATTTGAAGGATCGCCGGTGGTGGTTTCAGAAACCAGCACCGTAGTTTTTTTCCAAGCAGAGAAATTAACCGAATAAATTAGCTGAATCAAAAGACTTATGCTTCGAAAAAAAACTCCTAAAATGACCAAAAAGATGAGACTCTAGAATAGAATGCCCCCTTAAACGGTCCGTGGCTCGAGCTAATCGCGAGACAAATCTATCGCCGATGCATCGTCAGTCGGTCCCCCATTCACGGTAACACAACGACAGAGGAACACGACGCAGGGGGGCGAGACGAGAACGGAACACTGTGTCGCGCGAAACCAGAAATCGGATGGCGATTTAAATAGATTTCGAGTGCCTAACAGCGGCTCCATGAAACGGAGATCGTCCATTGTACCTGCGGGGGATCGTTTCTTCGGTCGTCCAGGGACGGCCAGAAGGGTGGGGAGGGTGCGAAGGATTTTTCTACGAAGGCGTGAAGAGGCTCGTGCCCTTTTTCGCCCGGTGCCACTCGAAAAGCCGCTCGAAACACACAAAAACCAGAAGAGCATTATTTTCGCGTACCATTCTCTTTCTTGGTCCTCGTCTCTCTCTTTCCCTTTACGAGTGGTGGAACATCGTTTGAAAGAACGACCAAAAGAGGGGTGCCCGTAGTGGGCCACTTTGTCAACTTGTCACCTGGGTCCCGAAGATGCGAAAGAAAACGAACGAAAGGCCCTTCGGGGACGAAGGGAACCGGGCTCGTTCTTGTTCGCACCAGGAAGTCTTGACTCCTCTCTTCCTGAAGGTGTCCTTTTTTTCCATCTTTCTCGAAGCTTTCGTGCTCTCGGTTTCCCTTCGCTTTTGTTCTTTATATCGACGGGCCCAAATTGCCGTTGATCTTTGATAAAGATGAGTTTAGTTAGAAAGTACAATCTTTTGTAGAAAGTTAAAAGAAAATTAGAATCGCAACATCACTTGCTCGTTGATGCCATAGAATGTTGTAAAACGTTTGCATAAAAATAAAAGTAATGCAAATAAAACGAACGAAACAGACAAGGTAAAGGATATAAATACACGAACGGGGTCAAGCATATAGTCGACAAGCGTGACTGTACATACAACGATATAAGTATCACACGAGAGCCTAAAGTTCATACTCCCAATCACGAACTCGAACGTTCTTGCAGATGAGAAATTCAAGCGGATGGTTGTGTTGGTGCAAGGTTAATTAACGACATGCAGACAACTTGACGATTTTGAACACACGTACTAGACGTTCTCTTAGCGAAAATCAGTGTAGATTTACTAATACATTGGCTAGGCGGATAAGTTTCTGCTTGGTCTAGGAAAGTTGTGCGAGCAAGTACCTGGTTCGTTCTAAGTTTGCTCCAGGCAGAACGAATTAGTCGAATATCGTTTATATTCGACTGTATTTAGTTAATAATGTATTTCAAGTGGCAACGTATAAACTAATAAATTCCTCTAACGAGAACTTGTGAATGCAGAGAAGTCCTGTTGGATAGCGACCTTCTCGAATCGAGGGAGTCTGCCAACAAAGTGTTCGTTTCTAATTGGCTCGCGTGTTTGTTCCTAGCTGAAACAAATTTGCGCCTCGTGTTCGTAGAATACAGAGAATCTTCCAGGGAAAGTAGTCGCCCGCACACGAGGAACGTGTAAACGTTGGAAGGATCGTGTGGCATTAAACAAACTGGGACTATTGTATCGTAACCAATGTTTCAACTTTATTCGTTGGTCTCTCGAGTTACTTTTACACTAAAACGTCACGTTTTCGGAAAAAGTTTTTTAAGAACTCGTCAAGAAATGAGTTCTCCTCCTCGGTTCCTCTAATCGCGTCTGCTCAATTTGCCTAAAATTAAGTTCCCATCAAACATATCGTAACAGTGAAAGGAAGGACCGGCTCGTCCGAAATCCTTGAAAGTTACGCTCTTTGTTGTCCGGTGGGGACCAGCATTATCGTTATTACCGGCGGAGCCAAGCCGAACGACATTGGCGTCGCCGTGGACAGGCGCGCGAAAGGAAAGAAGTATCGGTTTCAATGGGCACCGTATCGCGTACCGAAAGTGACACGAAGCCACGAATACCGTAGGAAACCCCTTAGCGGGATCCCCGAAGGACCTCCCGTCGACAGGCTTTCAAGTTTGAAAGTCATACCCCGGTGGTGGCTCGTAGTCGACAAGGGGACCGAAACCGAAACCACTCGAGAGGTAAGAATGGGGCCCCATGGCCATCCTGAATAGAGGCGTGTACAAACCCCGGTGTACGAATCCTCTATGGACAGCCTCTCTGCGAAGCGTTTGCCGATCTACCTTTGTGTAAATAAGGCAATAAGGCGAAGGAAGCGGGATTATTCTTTACTAAGTCCGTAGATCGGATTATGTCGAGTTGCTGCGTGGATCGATTCCGTCGGGATGCCAAATATTTGAATGGGTCCTCTGTGACCACTTAAGAAAGAGTTGTAATGGTATCTGGGGGGGGGAGTTGGACGCCTCGAAAACCATACGTGTTTCTTTGAATTTTGCACGAAGAGATAGCATCCCCGATTAAATCTTTCCCATTCGGAGAACGAAAATCCGAGCTTGTGCCTATCTTGGCGTATCATTCTCATAATAAACCCCGAAAATCACGCCCCTGACAGGCCGTGCGACCGCAGGAAGCAACCGTATAGTCCAGGAGCGAGTACAAATGGGAGGGTATGGCGTTCACCATAACTCATGGGGCCGGTCCTGTGACGAGAACGCGTCTCCGTGATAGGCACCGCATACGGAACCTTACAACACACGCGTGCGTTAAGTGTTGGGTGTAGGTATAAGGGCAGCACCTACGGCTTTGCAGGTATTACGTTACAATGCCATTATGTGACTCCCGTGCGCCACCATTGTAGGGCCCTCTGTGACGTATGGTTAACCACCGACCATAACCAACCAAATGTTCGCACGTCCTAACCGCGCGCGTTCCTCGAAAAATTTTCACTTTCTATTCACGTTAGCTATTCTGTATGAAAAAATAAATCGAAAATGTGCTTTCGATCGAACGTGTTTAAAATATTTCGGTTATTTGTCCTGTTTGAACGCGGCTGCAAGTTGTTTCGGGTTCGCGACAAAAGCTTGGTTTTCGGAGAACCCACGCGCGTTAGCGAGATTAGAAATTTGCTGCATCGCCGGTTCTATTGCGAAGTTCGCTCGTTAATCTTACGACACCGGGCCTTTTCTTCCGTCGTAATAAATCCGCCGCTAAAATATTGCCAGCGTTTCGACTTTTGCGTGCGCGAAGGTTGGGCCAGGAGAGAGTTATAGGTGACAATAACGAGGCCCGGTTGCATGCGAGGCGGGATCGTAAAGCGGCGGATTAGACTCCTTTCGGCTATTAGTCTAATATATGCCTTCCGATATCAAAAAGCCTGCGCATCGTGCGGATACGATTTCGACTCTGTACGGCGAGACCGAACAAAGGTTTCGGTTTGGAGAACCATCGATGAATTGATTTAACAATAAATTAGTCAGGAGTGAAAATAGTAATCGCATTATTTCCTAGTCGTTTTCTATGTTCGAAAAATTATTTGAAATCAATTCGTACGTCAAGGGGTGAACCCTTGGCGGTACCCTGACGTCTATCGTGCCCCGATGTTCCGAAAACCTCGAGTGTCCCCGCAATCTCCGGGTGACCCATCATCGAAGTCTCCGCTAATTCGTAGTTTACAGACTCGACGTGTCGAATGGCGGGGCCCCGGTAAACGATCCCGGTAGGCAGCTGGTCAAGCGAAAAGAGCACCCCGTGGGGAACGTAACACACTGGCAACATAACTGCGCAGCCAGACTGGAAGGTAGCGGCCCTCGAACCCCTCGGCTCGAAGTCAATGTTCCCTTTCAGTATGGTGACACGCATGCCCGTGCCTCCGCGTAGCGTACAGCCGAGCTTTGTTGTGCACGCAAGTCCTTGCTCCCTGGCAGCGCGGCCACCGGTTCTAATATATGTGGCCGGCCCACCCCGGGTAACATCCCTTCGTGTCGGGCCTCCACGAGGGCTGTGTACGCCAATGGGACGCATAAATGGGCATCCGTTGCATCCAGCCGCCTCTCGGGAACATCTCTGTCACCGTGTCGGCGGTCTTGTTACGACGACTCGTGTCGGATCCACGGTTTCGATCGACCACGCTCTCGCCACTGGCTAAATGATTTTCGAATGAGGGGGGCGTGCCCGGGTAAATAAACTTCCGGCCGGAGGGAAGCTGCAGAGGGTTGGCTCGTTCTTTTCACGTGGCGCGCCAGTGGGCCAAAAGACTCTGCAAGGGTAAACCTTCACGAAACAGTTAAAAAATGATTGATAATTACATATAACTGCGTGGAAAATAAACCATTGTGAGACAGTTGGAATAACGTTTTCGAAATGGTAACGAAAAAGAGTTCCACGGGTTGTAAAACACAAAAGATGTAGCGTGTAAAGATGAGAACGGACGTGAGAATAGGGACCGTAGCAAAACTGCGTTGAAATAGATTGATCGAAACAGACACATCCATCAAACTTGTCACTGCTTTCGTGACAAGAACACCCGATAGTTTTGGTGGGCAGAATTCTGTGTAGGATAGGGTGGCACGATGTGGTACATAGGGAAACGTTGACTTGTGTTATACAATTATTGTTTTGCGTGTAGCGGGCGATCGCATCACACTTATATGATATTAATTCATTTATGTTGCAATAAGCGAAAATAATTTTTGATGTTCCAGACGGAAGTGGAAGAGATGACGAACGACAGCGTCTGCGACGGCACCGGTCCGAATCTCGCTGCTCCTGAAACCACCGGCGGTCTGATAGGACCGGAAATGTCCCCGAGCGTGATGGAGTGTGGCGGCTGCGGGGAACGTGTCCGGGAGCGTACAGTTCTCTGCGTCGGTGGACGAACTTGGCACTCGAGGTGTCTGAGATGCTGTGCATGTGCCAGACCGTTGCACGATCAACACTCTTGCTTCCTGAAGGGAATGCGGCTCTACTGCAGGCACGATTACGCTCTGTAAGCGAAAGATTCCTTTCTTATTGCCGTGGTAACCCTCCTCTCGCGGTCCAAAGTCTCGCGAACTAACGAAGCCCCAGTGCTCTGTTACGAATTATTCGAACGGGAATTTCAGACACCGACACGGCGAAGAAAAAAAATGGTCCGCGTTGCAGGTTGACTAATGCAGATATCGGACCGGCGTTATTAACGAAGCAGCGCGGCGAGTCGACGTGTTAGCTACCGTAGAAACACAACAGCCAGACAAGAAACATAAATCCTGGTGGTACAGTGCACGTAATTGCCACTGTGTCGTCAAAGATCTACGCTTTCCTGTAACCGCAATTCAGCGGTCGAAACAGATTCAATTATCGAGATAACGGACCGACGATAAAGCGAATATAGCCGTAAAATATTTAACGATCGATCGATCGGCCGAATAATAAAGCACGGCAAAAGTGTGGGGAGCCGTGGTTTTGCGTTATCAATATAATAAATAGCGAGTCGTTACGTACTCGTCCACTCTGGATGAACGAATCGTTGAATTCTTATACGTGACAACCTGTCGACGATTTTTCAACGCATCGACCGGCGAATGTAAATTAACGTTAACGTCTCTATGGACAAGTAATGCGATATTTTTTAACCTGTACGCGTATTAACATACTGGACAGCGACACTCTGCTGGCGTAACTTGCTCTTTTCTTTCGTCGAACGATAGGTGCGCTATGAAACTTGTTATCAGATTGTTGCCAATGTGTTAACGACAAAGAACTAGTACTTGCAAAAAAATTCAAGCTCTTGAAATCATTAAATTCTTTCCGACATCTTCAACTATTTGAAAACAATCCCATCTTTCTTGAACGGGATATTATTGCGGACGATTTACACGAATACAAAGAGACACTGTTCGACACAGGTTCCTCTGTTTCGCTGGTTCGATAACGACTCGATCGTGGCACGTACTTTTGAATATTTTCGTAGGGAGGAAGGTCGAGAAAGTATATAGGGAGTCGATAGAGGCGAAAGAAGCTCGAAGTGACTGGTCGATTGTGGATAGGGAGTCTGAGTCGAAGACTTTCCAACGTGTTTATCCAACTGTCAATCACAGTTGGTATGGTCACCTGGCTGTGTTACACCGGCCTGTCTAAATCACGGTATCGTGATATTCGATCGTGACGTGTGACCGGTATCGCTGTCCGCATCGAAGAACGCGGAAACGAATGCACACCGGGGAAGAAAGAAATCTAATAATGTGAATTCGTGAGCGTAAACGTAAATTATCATCCTCGTGAATTACTGAAAGCTGAGAGAAGCGCTAGCAGGACCGAGGAAAGAGGGATCAAAATATTGCACCGAAGGGAATCATCGCTGACGTTCGAAACGAATTTACGGCACAATGGAAATAATTATTCACGGGATATTGAAAGGCGACGAACAACATATTTCATAACTGGCATAAGAGCGTTCGAGCCTGGAAGCGCAATCAGAAATTTCGCAACGGTGTCGGCGTTCTCTGTGAAGACAGTTGCCGGATTTTTCGAGCCGTCTGTCTTTGGGGAGTCAAAGTCGTGTGTGCGGGAGGTCCGGAGGAATCCGCCGCGTAATTTTTTTAACTCACACTTTTCGCCTCGTAATGCTGGCTTACGATGACCCGGTCGGCAAGATCCACGACCCGTAGACTCGTCGACAAGCGACTTCGAAAGAAGCGAAGCCACCTTCTCGATCTACGCTCGGCCCGGCGTGATAAATGATCGGAAACTATACCGCCGGTCTTTCGAACCTGCAAGAGACGGGGACATCGCCGCGGAATGTTCCCTCCGATTCACAATTGAAATGTTGATACAATGTGACCTAATTAATACTATCGTGTTGCAACGCGAGAAATGCCCCTATGAACTGTCTGCGTTCTTCGGAGGGGTCACGCCATTTTGCGCGGTTTCAGCTTTCTCTGAATTTCTATCGTTTTCTAAATGTCCGTCTGGGAAATGAGGAAATTAAATAGTTTTAAATAGCACCACACTGACCATACGTTATAATTTAATAGATCAAGAAATTTAAGGGACAGTTCTTCGCGGTTATTGTACAAGTTATGTGTTAAATTACAATAAGATTATAGACTTCCTCGGCTTGAGAACAATGAGCACGAAGATCCCTTAAGAAGGATTAATTTTCGTTGTTTTTTACCGGGATGCATATCTCGAGCTTCCTTGAGATTGGATCTACGACAGTGGTAAAAGAATCTCACAATCGAAATCAGCTCGCTCAAAATTCAAATCCCTCCCTAGACATTGGCGTGGGCGTTGACGAAGAAGTTCCTGTTGCAAGGAACGAATTACTACCCCGCTAACAAACAATAGGATTAAAATGCGCGTACGCGTTTTATGGTCGCCGTCTATCCGCGTAAGAATTCACTGTTCATTGTTTCATGAATTTACGACGGTGCGTTGCGTTTTAATTATACTAATAATAACACGAGACTGTGTTTATATCGTGTGAAACTACATTTTTAAAAAAGTTTTCATCTATTTTCGACTTGTGTTGAAACGGTGAATCGTATTCTACCTGGCTTCGCTTCTCTTCCTGGCCACCCTGTACAAAATTGTTCGTTAGTCAATGTACATGCTTTATTAGCATACTTGATGGCACACAATTTGTCCATACTACCACGGATGCACGAAAGGCACGAGATTTCCAAATGGTAAAATGACATTAACGACACGCATTTTACCAATTGCAAGCTTAGGTTTGACACACTTTGTAAATCTATATTTCTTAGTTTGTCAGACAGTTCCAATGTGCAATATACGGTTCTGTTATTTCGTTAACATTTCGTTCCCGAGAATTTAATTATAATTATATAAAAAGGTGAAACCTTTTCAATACATTGGTATTCTCTCAATCCCCTAGTCTCATACCGAGTAAATTATTTCCACCCTCTATCCCTCTGGCCCCTCCCCCCCTGGATATACTGAGTACGAAACAATCAACTCCATTAGCTACCCCGATACTAAGCGTGCAAATATCTCCTCGCTCCCGCCGTAGAATGTCCTCTTAATCCCGCGAGCAGTTGTCGCGAGATGCAACCGAACAGCGTGCTAAATAGTCGTGGATCTAGCGAGCAGTACCCCGTAGTTTGAGCGTCTGGAATGGGGCGGTGGGGCCACCGGGGTAGTCGCGTGGCCCCATAAGATATCTTCGGGTGTCTGGACGCGGGCGGAGCGAGGGGGTTCCCTGAACACAGCCCGTATAAACAGCTAGCTCGATCGTCGCCGGAGGAACCGGACGAGGAATCGGGATGCACTTTCCGTGTTCATGAATATGATAATGGGCTAATGGCCACTAGTCGTTGTTTAATTACCGGTCGCGGCGCACACAACCGACCACACCGGACTCGGCCGTGAAGCCACCGTCGTGCTTCTGCTTGTCGTTGCCAGTGGATGCATCTCCGGGTGCTCCTCTTGGTGCACCCATAACACCCACCTTTCGAGCCATTCATCTGGCCGTGCGTGCGTGTGTCGTGTACCATGCTCGTGTCTTGCCGCTACACGGCTACCGTTTACACCGGCGTAGCTCCCAGCGCTCTTTCGAGCCAAGAACCTGGGGGTGACCGAGGAGGGCTGGCTGGACTCTCTCGCGAGTTTCGATTCCTGGTAACTTCGTAGGCAAAAACAACCCGAGGGCTCGAGAGACCGAGCACGAACTTTACGACAGGTCGGTTCGAAGTGAAGCCCCGGCGGAAATTTTATTGTATAATTTTTAAACAAAGTTTGAACGATTTTTCCATCATCGATGATAATTATTTGACAACTCGTAAATAAAATTCGAACGACTATAGCAAGGAAGAAGTATAAAAAATGGAGAGAGTGTTAAAGATCAACGAAGCAAGCAATGGAGAACACCTGGGTGAGCGAGGAGCGAAGAAGAAACAAAGAAAACGGAAGGGAAGTGAGGGATTGTATTAGAAAGCGCCTTCAGAGAAGAAGAGAAGCCCGGAGGTGCTGCGAAGAATCGAAGGAAGAGAAACTTGCCTCTCTAGTCTTGGAAAGTGATCGCCGGTAGCGCATGTTTCTTAGCCACTTGGTTCTTCCTATACTCCCACGAGCTCCTGTAGTTGTCAACGAAGAAACAATACAAGAAATAATTCTTTGTAAGTGTTCTAAGAAACCTTGCAGGGAAGTCTATTATAAACTATGCTACCACGTGATAAATTCGTGAGTTACTCTATATTTCTTCGCTTTCCACCTTTTCATCCGTGGCCTCGGCTCTTTCTCTCCCCTTTTTCTATCCTTTCTTCCACTTCCCCCTTATCGTATCGTCCGTTTGCTCCTTTTCGCCACCGCGGCTATCTCTCGTTCTTTTTCCCCTTGTATCCCTCTTCCAGCGGCGCGACGTGCTCCGCTGCGCAAGTTTACATACACGCAAACATACTCTTCGGAGTCGCAGCTCGCGCTTCGGGGTCCAGGAGTCGTTTATTTGCTATGGGGACGACATACCCTCGCCTCCTTCCAGGTAAACGCGCGTTCGTGCGCGACGCCTTATCTAAGAGCGCGGCGGAGTGCTCTCTCATTGGAAGTACGAATTATTTCTGCGACCATTCACGCGATCAGGCTCATGGCCGCGGCATTGCCTACGCCGATAATCGCTCGCGGCGGAGGCCGGTGCGAATATCAAAGGGCAACACTTTTGGCGCTCGAACGATCTCTTTTCCCGCGCAATACCTCCCCCTTTCGTCTTGGTGATTTTATTCCACGATAATAAGCGATCAACGCTTCACAAATTTTCAAATTTCTATTCCTTGAAAACAAACCATCGAATGGAAAAATTTTGCACCACCGATAATAGCATACATCCTTGCATCGTAGAAGAAATTGTTCCACAGTAATAATTGATATCGCAACTACTCGCGCTAGTGTTCGATTCAACGCTTCATTAATCGCGTAGGCTGGCGATTACTAATAGCGGCAGAGAGCAGTAGATTCCACACCAGGAAATCGGCGGGAGCTTTGCATTTTCCTGGGGAAAGGACCTCTCGATAGTTGGCTTATCGACACCTCAATACGCGCACACACGCGGAGGAATGGGAATCGTCTGCGTTAAACGCTGTTCGCCGGATACATTTGTTAGAGGCGAGAGATGCCTTGGAAGCTAAATCCTTCTCCGAGCTTCCATCGCAAAATTTATTAGCGCTATTGCCGCAGGTGGCCTCGTGCTGCGTGCGTGTAAATTCTTTACGACCGCGTCTGATTTTCCTGCACGGGACGGTATCGTTAGTCACAGCCTCCGCGTTGGAAAAACTATGAAATTTACCCCCGTGAGTTTCTTGCAAATAGAATCAAGAGACTGCGACATTGTAACGTACTGAAAAGTGAGGTAGCGTTCGAGCGTACAAGATATGTATAAAGGTAGGGTGTTTTTAATTTTCCAGGACATTTGGCGCAAAGTGTGCGAAATGTGGGCGAAGCGTGGGTGCTGGGGATTGGGTGAGGAGAGCCAGAGAGAGGGTTTATCACTTGGCTTGCTTTGCCTGCGACGCCTGTTCCCGTCAGCTATCCACGGGGGAGCAATTCGCCCTGCTGGACGCCAGGTTACTCTGCAAGGCTCACTATCTAGACGTCGTCGAAGGCAACAACACTTCTTCCGATGGTGAGACTCCCCAGATATGTTCTATTCTACGAGATGAAACAAGTTGTCTCGATGGGGTTGATATTAATTTGCCTAGAGAACGCATCGAGTGTCGGGGCACCAAAGTAGAACTGTACTAATTGGTACTTTCGCAGAAGGCGGTGACTCCGAGAGCGGCCACAAAAGCGGTAACAAGGCGAAGAGAGTGCGAACGACGTTCACGGAGGAACAGCTATCCGTTCTTCAAGCGAACTTCCAGCTGGACAGCAACCCGGACGGTCAAGATCTCGAGAGGATAGCGCATGTCACGGGGCTCAGCAAAAGAGTTACGCAGGTTTGGTTCCAGAATTCTAGGGCGAGGCAGAAGAAGCATCTGCACACGGGCAAAATGAAAGGGCAACATGGTACTTCTTGCGTTTGTTTCTCTCAGCTAATTATCTAAAAGAACGTATTTAACGAGACGGAAATTCGCGTCGATCGTTTTATCCGGTCCCATTTATAGTAAATGTAACTGAATCGATGCTAGGGATTTTTTGGTAATTATTCGGAACAGGGTCCACCTCGTCGATTTCGATAATTTTCGAATACGTTATTGGACTCGACGTTTTAAACATGTTTCGACGAAAGGGATTGTTCATCTGCGTGTATTAGGCTTAGAGATATTGGCAATTATCGTCGCTACGAATCAAGAAACATCATTTGCTGTTACAGTTCATCAATCACCTCCGAATTCTAACGCGTCTACGGGTGATTTCGGTCGGCACATCAATTTACATCTGACCTATTCCTTTCAACATCAACAGCACCACCATCACAGCCATCAGCAGCCGCAGCTCAGTCCAGCTACGTGCAAGAGTCCCACACCTTCGATTTATCATAATCACGGTAAGAGAGCTTTGGGTCTTCCGGCATGTTTTCGATGAAATCATTTCTACTGCATGAAGTCGCCGCGGAAAAATACAATGAAATTCACCGGGATATCCTTCTTGCTCGGTATACGCAATAATGATAACATTTTATCGCGAAATAAGGAAATCTAAGTAGAGATAGGTGCACCCAGTCATCAACAATTTGATTTTAAATTGATTTAAAAGCATTGTGCGTTTAAAAATTTCAACCAACATTGCGTTGATCAATTGGTGCAGAAAGAAAAAACAAAATTTTGCTTTGATAAGGTCTACTCTCTATCGCAACACCGTCAACTCTGTCTTCAGGCTCGGAACAATCGATGGACGAACTCTCGCAGGATTCGATGATGTTGTCGATGCCGAACGAGGTTTAATCGCCGCTGCTGGATATTTAGCCGTATTGTAAATAATCTTTATTGCGTTAAGAATATGTTTCTCCAGCCCATGAATCGTTCTCGGTGAAAGCGTTGATTTTTTTTTAATTTAAAAGCTCGCTGAGGGTAAGCTCTGCGGTTTCGGTTCCAAAGTCTTTTTACCGTAGGACACGTTTCTGAAACGGTGATTTTTGCCAACTATTTAGTACGTACTCTGCAACAGTATTTATTCCGTTAATTAATCCTTTGAAGCGCTAGTTCGAGAAGGGAAATGTGCTGACTCTTTCGCTGAGCCAACCATTTTGTTTCTGGATTTAACTCGAACGATAATTTGTTTTTCGAAGTTAGTTAATTTATTAGATCGCTCGTTTTACCTAAAGACCCGAGGAAGTAAATTGTAAATTAATTTAAATTGTACAAAGTCGTTGCTTCGTTTTACTTCGTACCAGATGTGCAATATAAATAAATCTTGAAACGAGATAATTGAATCTGGCTTCAATTTATCGCAGGTAATTATCGAAGAATGAAATAAAACGTGTTTAAAGTCGAAGCTCGAGCAGGTTGGACGAAATGCATAGGGTGGTCCTAAGATAGGGAGCCAGACTTTAGAAATATTTAAAAAAAATGAAAGTAGATTGATCAATGCTTTCCCAAGTCGGAACAAACTGTCCACCGCGTAAATATTATTCAAGCTTAACTTAATAATTTATTAAAGTTTATTATAAAAGTGATAGACAATAGGAGGTACGAGTATATTTTAAAGCCACATTTTTTAATCACGATGAATCAATTAATCGCAGCGGTGAAAGCTGCGGCGCTTCAACGGATTAATGTTCAACATGCAATAACTCGTAACAGCTATTTCATACTTTCCGGTAGTACGTATGGATGCTGCTGAAGTATGCCGAACGTTTTGTATGATTTAGAACGAAATCCGCCCAAACGTTGTTAAGCCTATTAAGATATCAGCAAAACCGTAGACGACGCCAATTTTTAAGACTGGATGGCAGCACAGCTCTCTCGCACTCGGTGTTAAGCTTATTATAAATAAGTGAATACAGTTTCAACGTTCCATGTTATGCATGCACAAGTACGCGTGCACCGATCTGGAAGCGAGTTGCGAACCAAATTCTTCGTCGACTTCCTCCTGAAGGCTGATTCCCACTAACAATCGACTTTAAAGTCGCGCTCACGCTCATGGGACATCAGTTACACGTAATTTACACGTAGCGTACGATACTCAACTTCGAAAACGCTTAAAAATGCCGTTCTTCCACATCAACGATCTCACATATTTGTATAATGTTATTTTGAGTTGGAAAACTTTAATTTAAAACGACGAAAGTAATGATCAAAGTGGTGCGAAGAATCAAACAGCCTGAGGGTGTACGAGCGGAATGTTTGCGATTAAAATAATGGTAGAATTTTCCCCCCCATGAGCGTGATCGCCACGCAAACGGTCACGTCCCTTCAGCGGTGGCAAAGAAGCGATAAATGTAATTTTCCTTCTTTCCCGAAGCGGAATTTCCTGATGCAATCAGGCTATCGTTTTAATAAAACGTATAAGGTCGAGTAAGATTAGCGTGAACGAGAAACGAGAGTCGTTCGATGCCTCCAAGACATCCCGAAGGCTCGTTTCGACACAGATTCGGGCCTCCGGAATCTCGGGGAACATGAAAAAGCAATGTTCCGAATGAAAGTATCTTTTACAGTGTCTAGGTAATTGTGTAATCGTAAAAGAATCATAATTTAACACTAAACCTACCACGAACCGGTCAAATGATCGTTTTTTAAATTATGTTTAGAATTTCTAACGCACAATGTTACTTTAGCGCACATTTAACTTCACGATTTTTCATATAGCATACGTACAATGAATTTTTCAATATTCACTTCTATTCTTATTGTTTGTTTTCTAAGAAAAATCTCTTTTGTCTATAACGATCGGGCGTTTTATTTTGGCCTCTGGAATCTCCCATTAAAATTTGTCCGAGGAGTGGCCGAACACCCTGTATTATAGTCCAGTATTCAGTTTCCATTGTCTTAGGACAGTCTAATAACGCGTATTAAAAATACTAAAACTTTAGACGCGTGCAGTTTCGAAACTACTAGGGATATATTAATTATTAAGGTATTGTTAGAAGCGGCAAGGCCTCCCCTTTAAAACGGTTTTTGGTTTTTGTCGATTGGACTTACCGTTTTCGAGATATCGTAATTTATGTAAAAGGTAATTTTTTAAATTCCGCTGTCTCTCGCTACCCCGTGTTAGACAAGGCTATTAACGCGTATTAAAAATAGTTAAACTTTGGACGCGTGCAGTTCCGAAACTACTAGGGTTTTCTTAATTATTGAACCACTGTTGGCAGCGGTGAACCTTCCCCTTTAAAACGGTTTTTGGTTTTTGACGATCGGACTTTCCGTTTTCGAGATATCGTAATTTATGTAAAGGGGTAATTTTTCTTAATTTGACTATCTCTGTCTTTGTCTGACGCGGCGCGCTGGACCTCCTTGTCGCACGTGAGTCGTGACACTCGTGACCTACTTCCGCGTAGTATTTCCAAGAATTTACTACGCACTGTTTACTATTTTCGCGCGCTCGAGTTCATTGATAACAATGAACGTAAACAAAGGCTTCGGACCGTCGTATCTCCGAAACTAGCCACCGCATCGACTTGAAACTAAAATCGCTATATCTCCGGAACTAATAAAGCTATCGACTCGTACAAACGCTCGTTTCAAAGGGCATTTCATCCCCTATCCGATGACTATACCAACTATTATAATTTATGCTATCTTCTATGTTTATTTTCACATTTACTTTGACGCTACATACCTAAAGAAGTTTCAACGATTCCTACTGATCGTACGACTGTATATTATACGATATAATGCAAAAATTAGGCGATTAGAAATCATTTGACCGGTCATGGTAGGAATAGGTATACACGAAGTGTCGGTAGGTTTAGTGTTAATATACATGTACTGTGATGTAAATATTGTAAACTAAGTATATACAATATAAAATGTTGCACATACCTCCGTTGGTCTTTTTTCTTCCCAGCTTTTAAAATATTCCTTTTTAATTAAAATATGCATATTTGCGGATTATCAAACAACGTGCTTACCGATAGAAAATATATCTTTTAATTGAAATATATATATATTAAATATAACAATCTTATAACAATAATTTTAATAAATAATACGTTTGTTATGGTGGCTCATGGGTTCGATTACGACAACGCGGTTAACAGTAAAAGACACTTTTATTAATAACAGTACGGTTTACAATATTGCGGTGATTAGTGTACAACACAAGAGCAATATACTCATGCAGAAGTTCCTCGAGGTTTATATACAAAAGCTACATGGTACGTCTATATACAATTTCGTTTTTGAAAATAAAATAGTTTGTAGGAGACGCGTATTGTAAGGATTTCAAAAATACTAGCGAGTGTGACGTTGCGCTTATTTAGTACACGAAAGGATGCGTGAAACATTATTTCGTAGCTTTTCTTGAAACGTTGTCTCACGACGAAGTTGAGCTTCAGAGATAATTGTTTATTCTCGTATCCGATTTCGACGTGGTTCGATGAATATTGCGTGAAACGATGAACGTTTAGGATTTAAAAAGTAATGCAAGAAAATTGAAGGCTTCTTAACAATCCTACGAAAATACGAATAAAACAATTAGTGAGAAAAATATTGTTCGTCTACACTTTTCGAATCGATAATTTACTTTCTAACTCGTTCGCGATACTACGGTTGCACTTTCGCCAATATATCCTTCAAAACACTCGTCAAAGAAAGTCGAACACAAACCCGCAAACTGTTACAACCGAAAAGGAATAAATAATCGTCATTTTGTTTATGCGTAAACTATAATCCTCGCCACGGAATCCCATCCTATTTATATTATCACTTTCACTTCTTTCCTCGCCGTTAACGCTTCGTTTTTTTGGTATGTACAAGAGAGAACATCTCGATCGCTTAACATTAACATTTTCACGATCATCCTAGAACTCGAAGAGTCGATTCCAATAGTTTTTAAAAGACCTCTGCAATTCGTCCGCACAACACGAGTGTCAAAATAAATTTTTCAAATGCACCCTTCGAGGTCCTAGGGATTTGTTTACTTTTGGTTTCCGATCGTGGGCAGCGATTTCGATATGCTCTGACCGGTGGAGGGTCACGGTGGAAAATTCTAAATACACTTTTCGGGGCACCGGTCTCGCGCGAAACTATTTTACAATTCATCTTCGAAGTTACCCTGCCTGATGGCAGAATTGGGTTTGAAGATGATTAGGCGTTGTTGGGGTTAGGGGGGTCAAGGGGGTAAGAGGTGTCATTGGGCTGCCAGGACTTTCGCTTCCAGCACTACCACCTTGATACCCACCCAAATAGGCGCCCACCATGCTCACTCCAGAAGGATACAGGTCTCCTGGATGATGCTGCATCGGTGGCGAATGGTGCACTGGATACAGAATTAAACCGTAGTTGAATATCTACAGGGGTGTTGGAAAAGACACAAAATAATGCAAGAAAATATACAAGGTACTCCATAGCAAACGTCAACAAACCAACAGATTTAAATCTAACAATATTTCAACGATAATAGGGTTATTATAAAGTGATGACTTCGTGTGACTGTTAATCTTTATCAGATTGGTCCTTAAATTTACGAATTGTTACTGCATTTTTAGTTTAGACCGTTTCTTTGATTTTCATCGCAACAACGACCAACAAAATTACTCACTTTGCGACTTGATTTTGCCGCTGTGCTTCTTCTGCCTGGCCCTCGAGTTCTGAAACCAGACTTGCGTGACCCTTTTGCTGAGCCCCGTGACATGAGCTATCCTCTCGAGATCCTGGCCGTCGGGGTTACTGTCCAATTGAAAGTTCGCCTGCAGAACGGATAGTTGCTCCTCGGTGAAGGTTGTCCTCACTCTCTTCGTCTTGCTGCCCTTGCCACCGTGCTCGGAATCGCAATCCTCCGAGGACGAGGTATTGTTTCCCTCGACGACATCTAGATAGTGAGCCTTGCAGAGCAACCTGGCGTCCAGCAGGGCGAATTGCTCCCCCGTGGATAGCTGACGGGAACAGGCGTCGCAGGCAAAGCAAGCCAAGTGATAAACCCTTTCTCTGGCTCTCCTCACCCAATCCCCAGCACCCACGCTTCGCCCACATTTCGCACACTTTGCGCCAAAAGTTCTGGAAAATTATAAACACCCTACCTTTGTACATACTTTGTAGAATTTTAGATATGGTAATAATAATCGATAGGTGGGAAACTTTGTACGGTTTAAGTGGCTAGGTGGTTGCCAATTTAGCGCCCGGAGGTTTAGTGTTTTCGTTGCAAATTAGCAATCGTGGCGCGAGGTTTCGCCCTTCGTCCAGCGAAAACCGAATGGTCGAGAGAGACAAGGGGCTATTTTGGTCGGGGCTGGCGCAGGTTCATTCAGGACCTCCGTGCACGAGAATCCAATGGCCCTGTCCTCATTAACATACTACTCTGCCACTCGATGTCCCTCGGAGTGGAGCGCGTCAGAAGCGCGAGCCACGGTTTAAGGATCGGTTCGACCTTTCGCGATTCGACCGGCAGATTACGTCGAGATTATCTCGACGTCTCAGTCCCGCGGCTTCCCCTCGCCCTACAAATGACTCGAACCCTTTGAATTTATACCGACGATCAGGAAACGGACGACGCGTTTGCGACTGTTGCCGCTACCGTGGAATATACGGGGGACTTGTCGCTGCTAATTAGCTGTCATTATCGAACACGGGCCATCGACGGATTTTCACCATCGGAAAATTCAAACAAAATAGAAAATTACTTGTATGCAAGTTCTTAAAATGAGTATGGGGTATGTCACTACGATATTTTCGAGTTAAATAAAGGATGAAGACGAGCGAGAAGAAGAATAAGTAGAAGATAAAAAAGAAGAATGGTAGATCGGCCAAAGGGGTTATTGTATGGAAAAATATGGTAAGCCACGGAAGGATTAGTCCCCGCCGGAATTGCATCGTCATCGTTGCATCGAAGATATTTTCGGGCATTATTGGTTATGGTGATCGTGCACAGGGCACGCCTAGAAGCATGTAGTACACGTTCATCTGGAGACATCGAGACCTGTTTTTGGATCACTTTCCTTTCTACCCTTCGAAACTTTCGACCATCAGGAGTTTAACAGAATATTTATGTCAGTATTATTAAAGAAATTCTAATATATATTTATATACAAAATGTGGAAATTAAAAGACTTATATTTTCCTTCTAAAAAAAATCTCTAAAAAGACCAAACGAATGAAACACCCTTAAATCTTCTCGGGCTGCTAAAATCTGTTAAAAGGTCGCACGATCCCGCCTCCAAATTGCACTGTCATCAAGGTTAAAGAGAAAGGTCCACCCAAGAATTATCCTGTCCACCCATTCGAACGGGAGAAAAACACACAAGCCCCTCCCAAATTTCTTCATAAACATCGAATCGAGTCGTTCGGAGTAGTTTGTGGCCCCATTGCCGGAACACCTTTTTAGCTACGCCGGGACACCTTTGGCCACAGAAACCCGGGAAAGTGCAAAAGATGACGCGGTTTCAGTGTTCGATATCGGGGCCCATGGGGCCCCCGGACGTCGGGCGAGGTGCGATTAGCATAAATAGTGGCGCCACCCCTTTCCTCCTCTCGCGTTTACGTCGGATGACCAAAAGAGAGAAGGGTAGACAGCAGAAGCCCCGTGTAACCAGCCAGAGGGGCGGGAGGGTTTGGTATTGGGTGTCTATAAATCTTCGGGGCCGTACATCGGCTACCAAACGACCCCGCCCTAATTTATTCATTTGTTCTTCCACATAGGCGGGCCCTATAAGTCAACGGGGGATTAAGTCAGGCGCTATCCGAACCTCGGCACGATAGAATTCATGGTCACCCCCCCTGTCCCCCTTCTACATTCGATTCTCGCGCTCCGCAGGCAGATCACGATCGCGATCTTCGATATCATCGGAAAGATAAACGGAGGACAAAATAAATTACAACGTCCAGCGTATTTTACGGTTGAGTTATTGTTTTCGCCGAGGGTGGATCGGTCGTGCAACGAGGAGCGAAAAGGATTAGAACGAGGCGCGGGACCGATTAGTAGGCCCATTATCACCAATGAGCCCCTTTCTCTGTTTTAAGCAACTGCTAGAAACGATAGAATAGGGGAAGTGCGACGATATAGGACCCCCAACCAAGATACATTTATCATTTATCGTACATTCCATTACTATTATAAAGACCACAAACGCTAACAAGCTGCAGCCCCTCGTGTTATTAATATTGGTTAACATTATTAAGATAGGTAGGCTTCCAAATAATTGGCGATCCGTTCGAAACTCTGTCGAGGAAATCGTTGAAATCGCTCGGCGAGAATTGCCCCCAAGTTTTTGCGTCAGCTGGTTTCGGGGCCTTTTTTCGGAAGGAGTAGGCATTTGCATTTAAGTGCCATTAAGGCAGAAACGATAAGGTCGTGATTAAGGCGGCGACCGATTCACTGTCGCGAGCTTCGGCCACACTGAATTAAGAGAACCGGAATTTCGACGTTGAGACCGCTAATAGAGCGATTTCTGGTCCACTCGATGCCAAGCTCGCCGCGTCGTTTTATTCCTCGGGGCCCCCTTTTTTTTTTTATTCGGTCCGAAACGACACCGGGGAAACGATCGTAGGGGGCGGAGAATAGCGTCGGTGAATATTTATTAATTTAAAAGACACCCGTCCCGACTGAAAAGCACCGACACACGAGGGTGGAGAGAAAGAGAGAAAATCACAGCTGGCTTCGGGGCCTTACGAGGCGAATTCCTCGGTCCCCTGGAACACTGGCAGTCCTTGCTCGTGACTCGGCACCCACATCCGTCGCTGTATATTCGTGTTCTCAATCAAAAACCACTATTCCTTCTGGAATCGCTTTGTAATCGTTCAGGTTGTAATCGTTAAACCGATAGCTAGTATGTAACAAGGCGAATGGAGAACGTAAATATCTAAAGGAAACTATTGGTGTGCAAAAATCATATAATTATAATTAAAGCTCGTTCATTTAAAATTATTAACCAAAGCAGTTTCGCGGTATTTCATAAAGAGTACGCAAAATGTGCCAAGTTCCCAGTATCGAACGCACTTTCATCGAGCGATTCGCGTCGAAGGGGACGTACCGTCGATTGAAAAGCGACGTCACAAAAGTTCGGCGTCGGCCGATCGGCGAAACACGGTCCTCTCTTTTTTGTCGACGGGGCCTGTAACCGCGAGAAAAAGTCAGTTGAGATGTCCTTTATTCGTGGGCAGGCATCGGGGCAGCTTCAACGTCACGACGTGACTCGCAGCTCGCGCGCGAGCATGCGTGGTACACGTACGGCCCCGATGACGTGAATAGCCGACTGTACGTGAGGTCCAAAGAAGAAGAAGAGGACGCAGAAGAAGACAGAACCAAGAAGACTACATCGGAAGACATTAATCACCCACTGGCGAATCTCTAGCGCACCGTTCGTACGTCGAATGCTCGCGTACGGATATCTGTTCATCTGCGGGAATATCTGCACCCACGTGACCGGGCCACGTGACCCGAAAGAAGAGTCATTTAGCGAGATCATCGACGCGCACGCTCCCCTCGAAGAGATCCCAGACAGAGCCCCTGGTGCACCGGGGACATCTCATTCCACTTTCTCACACTATGCCAGATCTGCAAACTGACTCTGTGACTATTCTCAAAGTAGAAAATGTCTAATTTCTTGCGTTTTTAAAGTCTAAGGTATAATATCGGAATGTTGATATCAAAATATGACACTTCTGCGAGGAGCTCGTCCTACGGGCACAATAAAACGAGATCCAGAGGGACTGTTTCGGCGAGTCACGAGCTTATAATCCGGACCGATACCATTCAAAATCGATCCCGAGGGAGTTCGTGGAATCCTTTGAAACTGGTTGCACGACAGGGTGTCCGAGATATCAGTTATGCTGGTGTCAGCGTACTCCGCGAGAACTGTCCCGTAAGTCGAACAAATGATCGTTCTTTCCAGGAGCTCGCGTGGTAGTCAAGAAACGTCCTTTTAAGCTCGGCTCTGCTCACCGGTTATGCACCAGTGGGGCGTCCCTGCCGGTTCCGATCCGACGGAATATTATTGGATTCATCGATAATCCCTCGTGTTGCTTCAGGGTCGCGAGACAACTGTCGCTTGTAATCGATTACACGTTGATCGAACGACCGAAAGACATTTTTAAACGAACCAAACACGCTGTTCTTGCGGATAAAGCCTAGAGATGCTTACGATCGAGAAAGAGTTACGAGAGTTTTTAGAATAGTTAAACTTTACTCCTACAAATCTTTTAATCTCGAGAACATTTGGGGGTTGAGGGGGTTGCTTTCGTCGAAGAAAAGAAGTTATACTCTAACAGGCAGATTCAGTGATCCTAGAAATAAAAACGAGTTGTACTTACAAGGCGTAGTCGTGCCTACAGTAGAGCCGCATCCCCCGAAGGAAGCATGAGTGCTGATCGTGCAAGGGTCTCGCGCAAGCACAGCACTTCAAACACCTGGAATGCCAGGTACGTCCTCCTACACAGAGGACAGTTCGCTCACGAACACTTTCCCCGCAACCACCGCAGTCCATTTCCATCCCATCGTGACTGTCATTGTTTCTAATATTGGCGCCAGCCTTCTTTATGCTTGGCACGTTGTTGTTGTTGGTGCTGTTATTGTTGTTGTTCGAACAGAGGATGCTGTCCGTGCACTCGGTCTCTGTCTCGATCTCGGTCTGCAACAGACAGCAGAACTCAAATTACAATTTATCGTCTTAAACTTTCGTCCGCTACTTGCGTGCAAATGTACCTACATTTAAGGATTATCGTAGTTCTCGTTCGAGGTGACGGAAAAATTGCACGGAAGTGAACGCGCTAAGGTTACATGGGGGAGCGTGAAAAATTCATTGGTCGGTGAAACGACGATCGTCGATCGATTCGCAAAGCAAATGTTATAGCAGGAGCAGAGAAACGTAGCTGGGAATGGTTTCCGGGTATGGAGTACGGAAAGCCTGGCTTCAGGCTCCAAATCTCAATTAATACTTGGCAAAGTGAAATAATAAACGAGCGGAGGGCCGCCGGCTGATAAATGATGCCGCTCTGGGCATGATCCCTCGGTCCCTGGACAGGCTGGCCAACGTCTACGATTCGCATGATTACACACGCGTCGTGTATCACTGCGCGTGCGCGCGATTCCGCGGGACGGCCTTTACGTGGGCGGCAAATTCGTTCGTTACAAGCCAGATGTAAACGATGCACCGGGCGCATAAGTAGCATAAATTCTTTCGCTTTAATTAAAAACCACGAATCGATCAAACGGGAATTTCAATTCGAAATTATGCTCCCTTTCAAATAGCACGTTTGTCGATGAAAATTAACGCTCGACGCTCAGACTTCGATGCAAAGAATCCTTTGCTGACGAGAAATAGGTAAATTATGGACAAACCATGCTAAAACCTCAGCCGTGTATCCATATATTTACTTCTTAAAATAACCCTCGTATTCGAGCGTTTACCGTTGAAAGCTGCAGAAGATTTACTGCTAGGAGCTATAAATATTACCTATAAGTAATGTTCACGATGGGAGAGACATTATAATCTTTTCGATCATAAAATGCGTTTTTACCATAGTAATGCTATTAATTATTTGTTAATGCGGTACTAAATCCTGACAAATAGTTAAATAATCTTTTCACGAAAGCTCGGAATTGAAAACAGAATTGTGCGGCCAAAGAAATATGATCGAAAATCGTGTCTAAAATCCAGTTTCGAAAGGGTTAAAATATTCTTCTCCCAGCGGTCGACAAAACGTGTCAAGCGGAGAAACGAAACATGAATGAAATCTATGAATGGCGTTCACGGAACTAATTGATCGAATACAAGAGAGATAACGTGGGTTCTCGTTTAAGTAATTAGCGATCGAGGGATCTCCAACCTCTTCGCCAACTATAAACTGGAAAGATCCTTCTACGAGGCTGTTCGTATAAACGCGCGTATGTCGTCCGTAGAATTTACTACGGACACGATATATTAATTTACATGCGTATAATACTGGAAAAGATTTATCGCTGGACTCAGCGATCGGGCTATTAAATCCGACGGAATTGTTAATAATCCCAAACAACAGAACGAAGCCGAGGTTTCAGGGGGGGTCGTAAGTTTAATGTATTCATTTTGTAAGAGTACAAATTGTTACCCTTTACTTTTTAAATTACGTTACGTGTTGCTAAAAGAACCAATAATAAATGAATAATTGAAATTAAGTTTTCAATTTTTGAAGAATAAAAAACGACAAGAGATCGATGATCCAAACTAAACACGGGTATTTAATAATTCCGCGTTCCAATTTCCGATGAAAATGTATCCGTCCTTTAGCATATTGTCGTTCATTAGTCAAGAGGTCTGTTCCAGGCAAACCTGTACCAGAGTTTCGACTGGGATTAATTGACAATTCAACGACACGGTGCAGCTGATTCGTTTTCTTTTTCAGTCGCGGCATGTCGTGGGGCACAGAGAAAGAAAGAGGGAGAAAGACAACGGAGGAGGGAGAGAAAGTCATTGTGAGTGCGTAGAGATAAACGCGAAGATAACGCGTATCTGATCTGTACGCAATTTTTTCTTATCGCTGTATTGGTCACACGTACTCGTATACGCACGTAGCACCCACACACGTGTACACCTGTGCGCGTGCACGTGCACCACAGCCGCAGCAAGTTTCGCCTCAATAATATTAATTGGTACACGAGTAATGCACAAAGGTTATTGTTCGTCACAGCGTGCAATCAATGAGTTAATTACATTACGTTCCTCGATTTATTGCTCGTTCTCGTGTTTTACACCCCTCCAGCCCCCTCGCGTGTCTACGAACCACGATGCGCGAGAGCTGTCGCGGGTAATTTAATCGAACGGTTCTCGCGCCACGGAAGACGCCATTGACAATCTTCTGAGCGTGAAAGGAAACGCGATTGCATGGAATTTCAGGAAGCAGCGACGCCGCGACAAAATTTCATTCGAACGATAGATAAGTTAAAAAATGTGTAATGCATTTTGAATCGCAAATGTCAACCCCCTTAACGTCGTTCGCGATCTCTTCGCGAGTATTGTTCGCGCTAAAGAAGAAACGTCGAAAGAAAGGCCCGTTACACAACAGACACCTCAAGAAAGACAACATCGACGACAGCCAATTTCGTAGACGGCTTACGGCTCGTCTTTAGTTTTCGTCTTCCTCTCTCTATCCTTCTCTCCTTGTCGCGCCTTCTCTCGTCGACCGGTAATCATTTCACGCATAGCTGGACGGTCATTGATTTATGATCTGCCGAAGGCAAAGTTGAACTTCCCACCTGTGATTTATACCTTCTGGCATTTCGATCTTCCCTCGGAAAGCGAGCCCTGTTCCTCTTCGTCGAGACCGCGACGCGAACCCGTCGATTAATACCGTGTCGCGACCACCGCCGCCATTACGTCCGATTATTACGTTCCTCGTCAAACTTGGACCGACCATTCGAACGTAAAAAAACATCGATTGTTTCGATTTTATCACGAGATACTGACATTACGTTGAAGACCAATGTTAATTGTCTAATAAGTATCGCCGCTGCATTATGTTATGAATGAATTCAATATAATTTTCCTGCCAATCAGTAAAACGTATAGGAAATTTATGGACATCTTGTACTGCACTGTCGATCATAAATCACCGTGCACGTGCTTGGAAAATACAAATTAAGATATAAATACAATTATCTTCGACAAAACTACCATTTTCACTACCAATTTCATTACACTTAATACTCTACCGCATAACTTAGAACGATTAAATTTTCACGAATTATTGAATAACAATATCGACGACCACAACACTTATAATTCATAACAGCAATGCATTGATACTTAAAATAATATATTCAACGGAGTACCAATTCTTGCCTCATACTCGACCATAAATTTCTATTATCGCGTAATAAACGTTACGCGACGAAAACATTGCGTAGCGCACCTTATATCAAACGTTATTCTATGTAATTGCGATTGATTAATTCTATTGTTTGCAAACTATAATAAATTTTCACGCTTCCCGCCTCGTATTAAGCCTCGAAACGACTCGTACGCGTGTACCGTACACACAACGAAAATCACACAAATATTTGTTCGATATCTTGTCGCGTTGATTCATTCAAATCCTTCTGACGAAGTGTCGCCGGCGATTTCGCGCAGCCTCATTGTCCTCGGCATTAAATTCTCAAACCGAGACACGGTCGTTTATAAGTTTAAACGCATCGCGTGAAAAGCACGAGGCGTAAGACAACGACTCGAGTTACACCGAGAGTTTCTCAACGAGAAAATAAAGGGCAGGTATTTCGATGACCACGGTCGACCGTGGGATTTTACAATGGTGTCATTTATGCTTTACGATCGGTCGAAAACTCCACGAGATCCAAGGGGTAATTTACAACGGGTCGAAGCTTCATTTTGTCCTTGGCTGCTCTCGGAAAATGCCTTGGAACGTAAAAATATTGGGCCCGTTTCTCGGAAGAAAATGTTTAATTCGTGACTAGGCGAGTACAGTGTTTTGGACGAATAGAATCGCATTTTTGTCGGAGGAACCAAGGAATTTTTCGAACGTTTCGTCGTTGCCCTTCGTAGGTGGACGCGATCCCCGAAGAATGCAATCAGCGAGTAGTTAAGAAGAATAATAGGAGTCATTTTTTATTCGTCAGCAGTTCGGGGCGACGGAGATGAGCTGACAAAGTGAGAAATGCCCGGGTGAAGAGGTCAAACGGGCTCCTCTACCGACTACCGGACACCGAAGATGCTCGTATACGTTCGATTCGTCACTTTGCTACACGGACGGACGTTTAATGGCACGAGCGAGTACCAATCCGCATGATTTATCGACCTTATAAGTTTCACCGAGTATCGCAAATAATTTTTCGCGATACCTCAAAATTATTTGGCCCGTCGTTCGACGTCAGGCGCGAAACACTTTGCCGAAGAGACGTTTCGAGACCCTCGAAGAGGCGATACTTCAACGCTTAATCATCCAAGATGCGACGCTAGAGCGTCTGTATTTATATTAACGCGCTATATCCTACTATAAATTAATAAAAATTTAATTTTACTCATTTTTAACAACATAACTCAAAATGACGTTAGTTGTATAAATGCAAAGATTTATTTTTAATGTATTACTCTTGAAGAGACCTTAGTTGATCATGAAATTACAACAGAAGTTCTTCCGTTTATTATTTCTGGACAAAGATAATGCTTCAGGGATACGAACAATTTTTTAGAATTTAATTTTAGCACAGAAATGAATATTTCTTTATACAAACGCTTCGAATTTATAAATAGTTGTTCCATTATTGAGATTATTTCCCACCAATTTAATCTAATAACAATATGTGATTCAAGATGGATCTTGAGATCTTTTCGGCGCGCTGTTGATGGCGCGTTATTTGAAATGAAGGGTTTCTGGAGGTCTTGTTTCTGATTGTATCAAACAATTAATCGACTTTGAACTATTTGCTACTAATTTCATTAATTCTAGAGCCTCTACGAGAGAAACACGCCCACGCCACACTTCTACCTTCATGTACATAATAGTGAGACGCATTATAGCTTTAAATCTTTGTCAATAGGGACACGGTTGAACTCGGACTCCTTCGAAAATAATGCCAAAGAAAATGAACCTATGTCGCGTTCCAAATTTCAAACGTTTAAAGGTAAATTGAAAAATATATCCTACTATCTCCATTTAATAGCTCAAATTCACCAAGACTCACCTTCATATTGCCCCGTTCGTGGATCCACCGAGTCACGAACGCCCCGTTGCTCGTTCCATAATCAACCCAGCGAAAAGTCCAACGGAACACGCCGTGGTTCCTCGGGTTCTCGAGCCACCCGAAATTCGGTAAGTCCCCGATTCACAATACACCGTGTCCAGAAAACTCTCGCGAACTCGCGGGTCACGTTGGTCGCGCGATGACCGGGAACGATTCACGAAAAATATCGTCGATCGGTGCGAAGATCGAAGGGGATCAAAGAGCAGTACCCTGTCCGGATCCGTGGCCCGGGGAATACTGGCATCCTCGATTCTGCCCCTTCCACGCGCTGTAATAGTCGCTCGAACCACGCGCGAGCAGGCAGCTCGTTTTGTGCGGGGTCGTCACTGTGTGTTCGCTCGTCGGGTCGATGTGTGTGGCGTTCCATGTATGCACAACGCTGGAGGGGAACTGGTGTTGCGTGAGTCGGGACTGTGCGCGGCGAGGGTTGGTGCAGGAACGATGGTTTTCAGAACGAAGGCCTTCTGAAACGAACCACAGGCTCCGCCCCCCGAGCCACGCCCCCCCTCCGCGATCGTACACGCTGCTGGAACTCGCGCTATCGTAAAGTTGTCAGGACTCGGGATAGGGGGGACGACACTTCTGATGCGAATCAAACCCGAATGGAATTTCCGCGGAGATTCGAGCACGTTTCTTCTTCTACACGCTTTTCCCATCTACGAACGATCGCGTTTTTCCGTTTCAACTTTTTCCTCGACGACTTTCCACGGCGCCACCCCCTCCCGCGAAGGCCTCGCGAAATTTACTATGAAGATTTTTGCTCATTTTTATATTTTATATTCAACAGCCTTATATCTGATCTACAATTTTAGCAAACTATTGCTCCATTATTTTAGTAAAATAATATGGTGGATTAACAACGACAAGGGTTGTTAGAAATCATTTTCCTGATCCGGCGTTTCCAAAATTTGTTGACGATAAATATTGTACCCACCTGAACACACTCGCAAAATCGATAAAACGACACCGCGCGTACAGCGTTCCCGAATTAAAAATCGTCGAAACGTACGGAGAAATTCTGTCTTGAACAAATATTTAAATTTCACGCTACGCGTACGAATATCGCCTTGCGAGTGACATTTTATATTCAGAATAAATATTTATCGGCACGCTGCTGGTGAGTTCGTGTCCCGAGCAACGATCAAGGTAAAAATCATTTAAATAATTCGCTCGATGCAGTCAAAAATATATTCCGCGAAAAGAGAAACAGACGACCACTTTCGTGACACGATACAAAATCGAACGTACATATTTGATCATGCATATTGAATCGATGCTTTTTTTAGTCGTATCGAACGTAAGCACGTGCGATAATCAGACGACAGAGCACCTAACAAAACGATCGATCGTGAAATTATTGATCGCTCGTTCGTGAAGTTTTTCCTTTCTTTCGATTCGATTCCCGGTAAAAATCAAACGGAATAATATTAACGATCGAAAACTCACGTTACGTGTCTCGTATCGAAAACTGCGTCGCGAAAGCGTGTTGCGTCAGAACGGAACAACAATGATCAGTTGTTATACCGAGTACAAAAGAAAGCAAACAGCGCAGAACAATGACTTCAGAAATTCAGATAACGATTCTCCGTATTGATTACGAATTATTAATACTATACGCGAATATGGTCGAATCGAATTAATTCTACTGAGAAAAAGAAGCTCCGTATAACACTATGAGAACTTGTATTAAGAGTGTCGCCTCTCTTACCAACTGTTGGAAGATTGTGCGGAGGATTCAAGGGCGATCGAAGCATTCCATCTTCGAGATGCAAGGTCAAAGAATGAACATCGGTTGACCGTTTAGTTACGGGTTACTCCTAGACCAGACACCATCCCCTTTCCAGCATATTTACGCGTGGATATATATTTTATATTCCGTCGTTTCCTTTTTATTTTCGATGAGTTTGGGTTCTCGAGGGGGTTCGAGCACCTGTTTGTATTTCTGCCCCGCCGACACATAAATCATCCCGAAATGGACTAACGCCTTTTATCACTGCTATCCCTCTCGCGGTTCGCGTCTCTCTCTATTAAAGCAGTCCCCAGCGTGTGTGTCGGGGGCCCTAAGTATACATTCACAGGGCCGCAGTCGAGCGGCCCGTATACGCCCACGGCCGAAGATGAATATGAATTTTTCGTTTCGTTTCGTTTCGTTTCGGGACTCAGGAAAACTGTCAAACGGGTTCTCCTCTCGGGTCCTATCCTTCGTATTTTTATTGCCAACCCGAAACCGTGCGCGTGTGCACGCATCCGTGAAATCCAGTATTTCTTGAATATTCGAAACGGATATAAATCCCAACCCAAGACGAAAAGAAATCGAACGGAGAAAAGGGGTGCCATTTCGGATTATACCGGCCAAGTGGTATACATATTTGTTCTTATTTTATAACCGAAGAAAATAAACTAATAGCTCCAACAGCAAGTCGATTGTTTACCACGTTCCTTGTTTAAGAGCGGCGTTAAATCGATCCACGGATCCCTTTTGAATATGAAACCGCAGTTTCGCCGCAGGTGTTCCAGCTTTCCTTTGCTGCCCTGAATCGTACTTCACACCCCAGGAAATTTCTACCATCCCTGGGACGCAAGGGTTTTGTGGTCGTCGGTTTCCTTCGGAGAAAACAACAAGCGACACAGGTTTCCTTTTCTCAGGGAGATCTGGTGTATCGCCACGAAAGTAAAAAAGGGAACCTTCGTGAATGATTCCCGGCACAATGGCATCGGTTACCAAGAAAGAGGCGACTTTTCTTGTTCGAAAATATTATAAAAAAGAGAGTTTCGATTCACGTCCCCTTTTCACATTAAATCTCCCTGAAGATGAATCGGTAAAAAAGGATCATCAAGTATCTTTTCTACGGTTTTCTATTTTCTGTGCATCTATCTCATATTTTTGTTATAATTTCTTAACAAAGCATTTATGGATTTCTTGTTATTTTAGTCTTAGTTTTACTTGTAGAACACAGTACTGAAGTGTGTAAGGAAAAATGCAGAACACACTGTATATAATTTAGAGCACTATTTGAATTTAAATTGAAACTTGGATCTCCTAATCTACGTTTCTTACGCGCCAACCCTGGTGCGCGCGCCACACCGGAAGGATTGACATTGGCGCGAGTATTCAAATGGGAAAAAGAACGGTCCGGGCCCGGGCCATTTGTTCCGAGCGTTTCTGCGGCCGCTAGCAGCCTAACATTTTCGAGACAAATGCGCGTATATGTTCCCGATGCGCAGCCACTGTTAGCTTATTTATTAAGATCGTCGCGAGAGCGCGTGCACAGGCTTACGAGGCACACGCGCACCCCCACGAGACAACGTTCGTTCGTTCGTATAGGTGCACGGACGCGTTTACTTGGCCAAGAACGAGAATCGGGGGAGCAGGGCTCTGCGATCGGCAGGGGAACGGGGGCCATTAGTAATGCTTACCCGGCATAAAGCGAGAAAAATGGCGGTAGAATTATTCCGCCGGTGGGACCGACGATGGACAAAGGTTCTACCTCGCGAGGACACTCCGGAGGATCCTCGAAAAAGGAGCCACGGGGTTCCATGGTGCCGATCCACGGTGAAGGGGACAACCGAGCCGACGCCGACTCGGACGCTCTTTCGATGGCATTAATCGATACCATCGAGAATCCCGTTCGCGATCGATGTCCTTTACTCCTGGAACTTTGCACGCCAGTGGCGCACCCAAAGGGAGCGCGAGGGACCAATTGCAGCTACGATCCTTGTTGTTTTCGAGCTCCTTAATACTTCTATAGTGCTTATCATTTCAATATTTCACTTTCGATAGAATTCTCCGTAAATCGTCTGCGAAATTCAAGTCTTACAAGTAAAACTTTGTTATCTAAACGACTTCTGTGTCTTCTTATCGGTGTTCCATTTATACGACAGTCAGAAAAAATTGTTTGCATTCCAAAGTTACGTAATATTAATTTAGAAGAAAAATAATTTGGGTTAGGGTTCTAAAATAAACTATTGTCCGAATGGAAAAACGTGAAAATCGTGGGGGGAACAATTCGCGTCCTTTCATCGAACATTTAACACGCTCGAGGTGGTTCCCGACTCGCGGTTTCTCTTCAAACATTTCCCGAAGAATTTCCCGGCGTGTTGCGTGACATTATCATGATAAATGCCGAACCTGTTCTCGCATTCGAAGTCAGCTAGGCTAACTTTCATGGGGACCACAAGGCCTATTGTCGACCAGCCCTCGATACTCCATAAAAGAATACAAATTCGAGAAAGCAGCCTAACGTGTCGCTGGCAGCTAACCGCCTGCTGTGCAAACACGCAAACTGGTGTAAAAATCCGACGCCACCGAGACCGTTGGCGCAACCAACCCAATTTCTTTTTGGTCCGCGTATATCGTCGAAACACTTGGCAATGAAAGAAGCGAAAAGATAAACCTGTCCTTGGCGCGTACAAGCAAATGATATTGTAGTCGTACGAAGATAATATACAAATTCATGTACGCTAGAGGACCGAGCATGTAGTAATAAGAAAAACATGTTTCGATATTCCACGAGTTCATTAGCCAGATATATCCTTGTTCTTCGTTAGCAGTAAAGGTTGGTGTCTGTCGCGCGGATTCCTCGGGAATTGCCTTACAGCCGGAAATTTCGCGAGATATTTATGCACAGGTATACGGTGCAGCAACGTCTACGGATGCGTGTAGTCCTGTAATTTTGGGATTTCCACTTTCCACCGTTCTCGATGGGGTTGTAAAGGGGTGGTATACGCGAGAGCTACGGCACGAAAGCTTCCCCCAGCTTGTCCTCTCATCCGTCGTCTACATCGCGCTCCCAGCTTCCTGCTCTGTGATCTCAGCCCGTCTGAGTTTCATCCCTCTTCAAGTTAGCTAACAGCAGGATCCTGCACAATGTAGTCGTGATTGCAAATCCGCTCGTTATCATCAAAACTGCGCCCGACCTAACGAAACCCACCCCCTCGTCGCGCGC